GGGGGGTGGGCGGGTGGGGATGGCCACTCCACAATCCCTTCTCCTCATGGGATCTTGGGCATGCACGCACACATGCCCAGCGCAAGTTTAAGCCACCGGATCCAGGACTCAAACTGTGGCTGACTACATGGGAGTTCAGCAACATAGCCATTATGCCAATGGCTGGCCCCAGCCTTCATTGTTCTTGCTAGTGACAGCTGCCTCTACCCTCTCCTCCCCAGCCAGGGAAAATGGCCGTGGGCCGATCGGATAGCACCAACTCAGAAGACAACTACGTGCCCATGAATCCAGGCTCCTCCACCCTGCTGGCCATGGAGCGCGCAGGTGGAAACTCTCATAGCGTCTACATCCCCATGAGCCCAGGCCCCCATCACTTTGATGCACTCGGCTATCCAACCACGGTGCTCCCTGTGCACCGGGGCCCCAGCCGAGGGAGTGAGATCCAGCCACCTCCCGTCAACCGCAACCTCAAACCTGACCGGAAAGGTAAGTCCGCACTGTCTCTGAGCTGTCTCTGGACACTCTCCCGGCATTCATTGCATTTGCTTCGGGGTCACATGGATCCTGCACTTGGGGCGTGTGACCTTGTGCAAATCATTTCAGTTCTGGGCCTCACTTTGCTCCTCTGAGACATGGGGACAGCTTTGTGTCAGAGCCCACCCAGGACAGTGACTAGTATGTAACTGGCATCCTGTCCAGTTAGAGCTGTCCCCCTGCAGGCAGACCCAGAAGTAGAGTTCAAGTTCCAAGTGGGTCACCACCTCGTTCCATTGCCTGAGGTCATGTGCCGGGTGCCAAGCAAGGCCACTGGGGTCTGGCCCCAAGGAGCAAAGAGCTCAGCGTACAGCGTTGACGCCTTTGGGACCTCTTGACAGTCTTCCTGGCACACCCTGGCCAGGAGCAGGAGAGGGTTGTCCTGGTGACCACCCCCATTTCAAATACCATCTCTTATTTTTCTAGAAAGTTATCACTCTGGAGAAACCATCTGTTATCAGACCACATGTCCCATTCCAGATTCTGAAAATACAATTGCCATGGATAGTGAAAAGAGTATTGATTTTGGGGTCCAAAGGCTTTGGTCAAGGCCTGTCCATATGACCTTGCAGAACCTGTTTCCCCTGTGTGAAAGTGGCACAGTCCTCGTAAACAGCTTGGGCGCTGCCTGGAAGCACGGGGACATCGTCACTGACCACTCAACTTTGTTTTCCAGCAAAGCCAACGCCACTCGACCTAAGAAACAACACGGTCATCGACGAGCTCCCCTTCAAGTCCCCCATCACCAAGTCCTGGTCTAGGGCCAAGTGAGTGCCTGTGGGGGTGGGTCACTCTCCGGCATGTCAGGACAGCTGGGTTCTGAGGCTGTCCTCAGCTGATCGAGTCTCTTACTCCCTGGGGCTCAGGTTCCTATCCCACACAGGGGATTCAGGCTGTGGCCGACCTGCGTGGTCGTGGAAGGGGAGCTCTGCAGTCCGGGTCTGGGTGTGTGAGGGCCAGGCCCCCTGGAGGGCTCCTGGGGTCACTCTGTCGTTTTCCCCCCGTAGCCACACCTTCTCCTCCAGCTCCTCTCAGTACTGCCGCCCCATCTCCACACAGAGCATCACCAGCACAGACTCAGGGGACAGTGAGGAGAACTACGTCTCTATGGTGAGTCCTCTGGGGTCCTCCCAGGCTCTGCCTCTGTTCCCCAGGCTCCTTGGCCTAGGGACTCACCCGTGTGGTTTACTATCCTGCTGTAAATCCTTCCCGACCATGTGTCATGCAGAGGAGAGCTATTGTTAGATGCCAGGAAGACAGGAAGACAGGGCACCTACCTGCCTCCCTCCCCTGACACTGGTGTCATGACCCGTGCCTATGGCAGGCAGTGGTGGGAGACACACACATGACTCAGGCGATGGAGGGCCGGGCTCGGGTATACACCCATGTAGACAAGGATGCTGAGGTTCCTCCCTGAGATGCACGGGCAGGGCTGTGGAGCACCTTGGGGCCAAGGACTGCGGACCAAACCAGCCACCCTGAGAGCGTAAGACTTCAGGGAAGCCCTAAGGCAGGAGTCCCTCCATGAACACAGGGCCCTCAAGCATCGTCTGCAGGAGCAAGGACCCTTGTGGCCTGGAACTGGCGACCACTTGGTTCACACAAGCCAGTCCCTGCTATGTTATGTTTTGCTTTGTTTTGTTTTTTGGAGAAGTTTTTGCTACAGGGCATGTGCGCTCACCAAAAAGACAGAGACAGAGAGGTAGAAAGCGAGAAATCACCCCCAGGGGGTATGGCCACGCCGCAATCCCCTCTCCTCCATTCTCCTCTCGGGATCTTGGGCACGCACACACACGCGCCCAGTGTGAGTTTAAGTCGCCAGGTCTGGGACTCGAACCGCGGTCAACTACATGGGAGTCCAGCGACATAGCCATTACGCTAATGGCTGATCCCAGCCAGTCCCTGCTATGTGACAATCCCTGTCCTAGCCGTTTCAGAGGAGCCAGTTCGCTGCAACAGGAACTGTCTCAACCCCCAGCACCTAAAAGGGACATGCGTCCTGCTTGGTGGCTGGTACAAAGGGACTGTCTCCAAGAGCGGAGGTGAGCACTGGCCCAAGGCCTGCACGGGAGACAAGGCTCTGTGAACCAAGCTTGGGTTGGAGGCAGCAGACAGCCCCCACTGGGCAACCCTGGGCCAGGCCCTTCACTTCTCCACGCCACAGTTTTCAGCTTATTTTAAACCGGACAGTGGTCTCAGGGGCCTGTCAAGATCTGCTCAAAACAGACCACAGAGAACAAGAGGTTCTCACTCCCCACCCTGCCTCCCTGGCAGGTACGGTTGTCTGTCTATTTCCTCACCTGTGTGTTTTCCTCCTTGGGACAGCAAAACCCAGTGTCTGCATCACCTGTTCCCAGCGGCACCAACAGCCCAGCCCCTAAGAAGAGCACCGGCAGTGTTGACTACCTGGCCCTGGACTTCCAGCCAAGCTCCCCGAGCCCCCATCGCAAGGTGCCTGGGGTAGGGTTGGGGGGAGGGTGGGGGAGAGCGGGAAGCGAGCACGGGGGCCTGGCTGCTTTCCTCACTGTGGTGCAGCACTGAACCTCTTCCCCACCCCAGTACCAAGCTTTTATGACCAACTGTACCCACATCCGGGTCTTGGAGCACAGGGGCCTAGGGTCTGGCGTGGAACCGTGTCAGCCTGCCCCTACCCCCTCATTAGAGATGGGCAAATGACTGCCGTGCTCCAGGTGACAGGGACAGATCTGAGAGCGATTCCACCTCCTGGGCCGAAGCACCACTGAGTAGGGCCCAGAGCGCTGCCATTGATACTGAAGCCTGCAGAAAGGGCTTCTGGAAAGCCTGGGAGACTTACCCAGAAGCCCCCTTAGCCAGCCCATCTAGACAGTGGGATGGGTTACAGGGCTCACCCAGGACCCTCGCCTACAGCCTGATGGCTGGTGCTCACTGGCATCTAAGCCATTCCTTTCGCTGGGTCGGGGAAGAGCAAGGTGGGGGGAAGGCACGAGGAAGCCTGGACCCCTCCACTTGACCTTCGCCTGAGG